CACGAGTGTGAGTCCTCTGACACCCTGCACACTAACGACTGAGGACCAGATGAGTTGTGGGAAGATAAAAGACAAGGAAAAAAGAAAAGATCAAAATAGATGTCAGAAGAGCTTCAGATGTCTGAACCTTGCTTTTGAATGCAGAGTAGTTTAAGCAACTGGAAGTAATTATGAAGCAAAGGAACTTCATAAAACACTTCGAAGGCCAGATTGAAAAGACACAGTAAAGTATTATAATGAAATGTGCAAAGACTTTGTGTTATAAACCCACAAAAGGAAGGGCACATTCAGCATTTCTCACACTGAAAACAAACTGAAGGAAAAATCCAAGCCTCAAGTTGTACTATTGAAGGATTCTATGGGACTTGAGTTCAATATGCTTGAGTTCTATGTGCTGGCGAAGAATATTGGAAGTCTCAGGGGCTGCCAAAAGAACCAACAACTCTGTCTTGGAAGAAGTACAGCCAGAATGCTCCTTAGAGGTAAGGATGGCAAGATTTCATCTCATGTACTTTGCACATGTTTTCAGGAGAGACCAGTTCCTGGAAAAGGCCATCATGTTTGACAGGAGTGGCAGCAAAAAAAAGGGAAGGCTGGGAGTGTGGCAGGGGAAGTTGGGGGAGGGGCAGAAGGGATGGGGAGCTAATAACCATGAGCACAAGAATGAAGAAGATGGATGTTCTGAAATAATTGATTGCGATGAGGATTGTACAATTCATCTTGGCGTGATTGAACTGTTGAATTGTATGATACATGGATTCTATGCCAATAAAACTGTTGGAAAAAAAAACAATAAAAATTACAAAAGAAAAAGAGAGTGAGAATGGTTGCGCAATTTCAGGTCATTGATTTCCCCCTCATCGGACATATGAAAATTGTCGGTATATGTCCGGTTGTGTATATTTACCATAGCAACAACAATAATCTAAATTCATTTTTAAGAAAGAAGAAAGCCCTGGACAAGCTGGATGGACACAGTGGCTGCAACAATTGGCTCAAACAATTGTGAAGACGGCGCAGGCGTGGCAGTGCTTCCTTCTGTGGGACACAGGGCCCTTACGACCCAGAACAGACTTGCCCGCACCTAGAGCAGCAACAGGAGCAACATACTGGACTAGGAAGGAAGCATCAAAAGAAGGTGGGCGGAATGCAGTCACGGCAGCAGCAAGATTTTTCGATGTTCAACCATTTCAGGAGGAAGCATATCATCAAGAAACAATTCTATTAAGGGGAAGTCCAAGATTCCTTGAAGGCATGGTGAAAAACACGGCTCCAGGAATTGACAGGATATCAGTGGAAATGTTTCAACAATCTGATATAGCCCTGGAAGCACTTTGCTCATCCATGCCAAGATATTCAGGTGGCCAACCACCTAAAAGAGATTTGTGCCTATTCCAAAGAAGGGTGGTGCAGTAGAATGTAGACAGCATCAAACAATATCATTAGTCTTGCATGCAAATAAAATGTCGCTGAAGATAATTTTCAAAGGGTTGCAGCAATATGTCAACAGGAAATTACTAGAAATCCAAGCAGAATTCAGAAGAGGACATCGAATGAAGGATATCATCCCTGTTGTCAGATGGATCTTGGCTGATATTAGAGAATACCAGAAATATGGTTACCTGTGTCTTATTGACCATGAAAAGGCAGTTACCTGGGAGCCCCGGTGGCACAATGGTTATGAGTTGGGCTGCAAACTGCAAGTTCCACAGTTCAAATCCACCAGCAACTCCACAGGAGAAAAACAAGCTTTATACTCCGGTAAATAGTTACAGTGTTGGAAACCCATAGGGAAAGTTCTACTCTGCCCTATACGGATGGCAGTGAGATTTGTTTTTTGTTTTTTGTTTTTCTTTGTTAAAGTCAGTTGACTGTTCGGATTAAGAAAAAAAAAATTCCCGTAAAGAAGGGGAATTCCAGACCATGTAATTGTGCTCATGCGGAACTTGTACATAAACCAAGAGACAAGTCTTCGGAACAGAACATGGGGCTACTTTGTGGTTTAAAATCATGAAAGGCATGTGTGGAGGCAGTACCCTTTCATGAACTCTGCATGCTGAGCCAATAATCCAAGAAGCTGGGTCTCTGAAGAAGAGCACAGCATCAGGATGCGAGGAGGGCACCTTAACAACTTCTGAAAATACAGATGACACCACCTCGCTTGCTGAAAATTCAGGGACTTGAAGCACTTCCTGATGAAGATCCAAGTCTACAACCGTCACTACAGGTTACATCTCACATAAAGAGAAAAACCCCTCACAACCAGATCAATAAACAACATTGTGCTGAACAGAGAAAAGACAGAAGTCGGCAAGCCTGTCGTTCACTAATCAACATCAATGAAGGCATCGATCAAGAAAGCAAATGCGTTGGGCAAACCTGCTGCAGGAGAGCTCTTCAAAGTGTTATACACATCAAATGAGGCCTCAGGTGTGGCTGAACCACGCCCTGGCAATTCCAGTGGTCTCTTATGCTGAACAATCATGGAAGCTGAAAAGCCATTAAGGAAGAGTTGCTGGATCTGAATTACAGCAGTGGAGAAGAATAACGAAATAACTCCGATTGTCAGAAGAATGAACAAATAAACCTCTCTAGGGAAAGTACAGTGGGAAGGCTCCTTAGAAGCAAGGATGGTGAGACTTCATCTCATGTGCTTTGGACATGTTCTCAGGAGAGACCAGTCCTGGGAGAAGGATGCCATGCTTGGTGAAATAGAAAGTAAGAGAGAAAGAGGAAAGCTCTCAATGAGATGGAAGGGCACAGTGGCTGCAGTCTTGGGCTCGAACATGGCAGGGGCTTCAGGGAGGAAGCAGGGCGGGGCCGGATCTCATCCGGTTGACATAGGGTTACCATGCGTGGGAACCGGTTCACTGGCATCTAACAAGAAGGACAAGGTCTTAAATTCCTTTTCCCAAGTGTTTGAAATACGCATTTCAACATTTAGTTGGAGTCTGTAACAGACTGCATTTTCCAGAGATGGCCACACCAATACCTCCCCTGTGTCATCTGCTCCTGGTACAACCTTGTGACCAACATGCCGGTGGTCCCCCAGATTTTGCGCCTCACACTTGAACAGAGTTGCCGTTGTGTAGCAACCTGTCAATTCTGACACAAAGCCACCCGGGGCGACAGAGTACTGATCCATAGGGTTTCCTTGGCAGCAGTCTTTACCGGCTGCTGTTGCTAGGTGCCGTGACTCCGTTCTAACCCATAGCAACCCTGTGCATGACAGAACAAAACCCTGCACAATGGTCCTGCTCCATCCTCACGGTGGTTCCTATGGCATCCACGGTGCCAATCCATCTCCTTGAGGGCCTTCCTCTTGCTCTCTGCCCCTCTACTTTACCATGCATAATGCCCTTCTCCAGCGCTGGTGGCTCCTGACAACATGTCCCAACATGTCTCACCATCCTGTCCTCTAAGGAGCACTCTGGCCATACTTCTCCCAAGACAGCTGTGTTTGTCCTTTCAGCCATTCTTGGCACTTTCAGTATTCTTCTCCAGCACCACAATTCACATGCATCAGCTCTTCTCCGACCTCCCTTATTCAATGTCCAACTTTCAAGTGCATATGAAGCAGTGGAAAATACGATGGCATGGGTCAGGTGCACCTTAGTCCTCAAAGTAACATCCTTGCTTTTCAATATTGTGAAAAGATCTTAGTAGAGCAGATTGGCCTACTGCAACACCTCTTTTGATCCCTTGACTGCTGCTTCCATAAGCATTGATGCGGACCTAAGTGAGACAAAATCCTTGGAAACTTCAATCTTTTCTCCATTTATCATGATGTTACTTATTTGTCCACTTGTGAGGATTTCAGTCTTCCTTACATTGAGTTGTAATCCATACTGAAGGCTACAATCCATGATCTTTATCAGCAAGTGCTTCAAGGTCTCCTTACTGTCAGCAAGCAAGGTTGTATCATCTGCACATCTCAGGTTGTTAATAAACGTTCTCAATCCTGTTGCCACATTCCTCTTCATATAACCCAGTTTCTCTGATTAATTGCTTATCATGCAGCTTGAACAAGCGTAGTGAGAGGATACAATCCTAACACACATCTTTCCTGATTTTAAGCCATACAACATTCCCTTGTCTGTTCAAACACCTGCTTCTTGATCCATGTACTAGTTCCTGAAGAGCACAATGAAGTGTTCTGGAACACCCATTCTCCTCGTAGTAATTCAGAGTTTATCATGGTCCACATGGCCGAATGTCTTTGCATAGTCAATAAAACACAAGTAAATATCTTTCTGGTATTCTCTGCTTTGAGCCAAGATCCATCTGACATCAGCAATGATATCCCTTGTTCCATGTCCTCTTTGGAGTCCAGCCTGAACTTCTGACAGCTCCCTGTCAATGCGCTGCTGCCTCCCTTATTGGATGATCTCCAGCAAAATTGTACTTGTGTGAGGTATCAATGACATTGTTCTGTAGCTTGAGCATTCTGTTGGGTTATCTTTCTTTGGAACGGGCACACATATGGATCTCTTCGTTTTCTTCCAAACTTCCTGGCATAGATGAGTGAGTGCTTCTAGTGCTTCATCAGCTTGCTGAAACATTTCAATTGGTGTTCCATCAATTTCTGGAGTCTTGCTTCAGCGCATACACTCAGTGATGCTTAAACTTCTTCCTTCGGCATCATTGCCTTTTGCTCATGTGCTGCCTCCTGAAATGGTGAAACGGCAACTAGTTCTTGGTGTAGTGACTCTGTGTATTCTTTCTATATCCAGAAACTAATCCACGGTCCTTGCACTAGAACATCATATTTAAAAGAAATGGGCTCCTTGCTACAACTTTTATATGAATACCTTATTCCTTCAAATAGCAATTCACGTAGACCAATCAAGCAAACAGAATGATTTAACCTCAAGTTTTGACACGTGAATAATGTGAAGAGCAGCCATACACAAAAAATAAATAAATGAGGACAAGATCTTTAGACTATAGCACACCAATAGTAAGAATATTTTTCAAAAAGAAAAAAATTTAAATTTTACCTGTGGCTATACCGAATGGCTATCGTCAACCCAAGCTGTAATTGAAAAAGAGAGACAAAAGCATTAAGTAGTATCAAGAATATGTGGGATAATCAAGACAATTAACTTAATATGGTCAATTATTCCTAAAAGGCTGTTTCTAATGCTTCATCAGTAACACAGTTTAACAATAGATCTTTCGTTTCAATTTAGCTCTTAGAGGATATTTACATTTCAGGAGAAAGTCTTACCCCCCAAACATCTGCTGTCATTGGAGCCAATTCCAACTCACAGCGACCCCATAGGGCATCTTTATAGGAGCAGACAGCCTCATCTTTCTCCCAAGCAGGAACTGGCAGGCTCGGACCTTTCAGTTAGCAGCTGAGTGCTTACCCAGTGTATACCCGGGTTCCTGCAGGGTCTTAAAGGGGCCTAGAAACACTTTGCTGTGAATTAGACCGAAAGTCTGTCTCATCAGGAAAGACTTCCAACACTGAATCTTCTTAGCTCTGAACCAAAGGTGGAATCACAGCTTTTGAGTGGTCCCAAGGTCCATGGCTTAAACCACTCCTTTAGGAAACCACACCCACAGGTCCAGGGGGTCAGTCTCCCTTCCCCCAGGGGACACTCCAAGTGGAGTCCTTCTGGGGATGGGGGATGTTCAGCACAGCTGTCACACTGATCCCAGAAGCCCAGGGCCGACAAGCCTCTGCTCTGGAGGCAGGAAAGAAATCAAGTCCAAAATAACAATGTGAAATCAAGAGACCGCCTGCTTGGGTGCACACACTTGCTGGGCACAGCAACAAAAGGCGTTCGAGGGGAAACTGTGATTTCCTCTTTGCGCTGCGGGGGTGTCATGGAAACCTCCCATGCAGTAAGTGGGGGCCAGATCCTGCGATGTGGGCCTCAGCTGGTTCACGTGAGGCCGTCGCTAGCTGGCAAGCATCAGCAAGTTACTGAAACTCTCAGTGTCTCAGTGTTTTCAACTGTAATGTGGAAGAAAAAAGAAGTGCTTCACAAGACGAATACTGTACGGATGAAGTTCTTTTTCTATGTGCGTGCTTAAGGTCTACAGGTGTGTGGGCTCCCTGACGGACAGACAAGAAAAAATATAAACTACCATCACTGTATGTATGGTCAGCAATATCCCACTCATGAAAATGCTATTGCGTGATGGAATTCAGTTGTTGAGTTTGTTTTGGGAACTTTGGCGTTATTTCGGCCTGTGAAAAAATATAATCAGAGCCAGACATCCCTATACACTCAAAACCAAACTCACTGCACCAGGTCAATTCTGACTCATCAACTGCCTTGTCAGAAAGCTCTGGCATTAATAATGTGGCAAATGCACAGCAAGGGCATTGATTCTTCAGTGGTAGAACCCTCACCTCTTGTGAGGGAGGCCCAGGTTTGATTTCTGGCTAAAGCACCTTATGATCAGGCATCACCTGGTCTGTTCGTGTAGACTTGTGTGATGTTATGATGATGAGCAGGTATCAGGCAAACTTCCAAACTAAAACTAGGAAGAAAGGCCTGGAAATCTACTTCCAAAAATCAGCCAGCGAAAAATCCCATGGCTCACAAGATTCAATCATGAGGATGGCACGGGACCAGGCACGTCCTTCTGTAGAGCATGGAGTTCTATCAAGTCAAGGGTCCACCCGATAGTAGTTAACACCAACAAACCTGCAGCAGTTCCAAGCCCAAGCAGCATGTAGTATATCATTTCTAAAACAAGTGTCTGACAAAGTGTGATAGGTAGGTTTATTGTACCAACCTGGCCAATAGGAACATGTGGGATTAATAAAGTCGCAGTTGGATTGGAGGGCAAAGAGATAAATGGCTCAGCAAGGCCCTCCCCTCTCTCTCTTGCTTTCTGGTAACTGGACCAGTGAGTGGCTGCTAGTTCTCTGCCTCAACTGTGAGCTACACTACCCATGGGGCAGCCAACCTGTATCACTAGAGCTTGAGGTTCCTTCGAGGCCTGCTTCGCCACACTGCTGGTGTGTAGATGGCTTGAGCTCGAGGCTGTCGGTTCCTGTCATCTTGCATTGCTTGAGTTCAATATCCCATCCAGGCCTGCTTTGCTAAACTCCTGAGCTGCTGACTGTTGGCGACCCACTGTGCTGTTTGCTGCCTGTGGCCAGACTACATGCATTGCTCTAGGGAAAACTCCGCTGTCTGCTTCCTTGACCTTGGACCCAGCAGCCCTCATGAGTTGAAGGACTTCCAGTATATTAATAGTTCCACGGAAGTGAGTTGAACTGAGCCCTCTGTACTGCTGCATGGACTATTTAGATGTTATATTCCTTCATGTTGTATTTATCTATCCATATACATATACATAATCATAAGTGTCCTGGTTTTGTTTTTCCAGAGAACCCTGTCTAACACATGAAGTTACACCTAAAGATGCTCAAACACATCACCTCGTTCCCGACTTCAGCCCCGCGACGTCAGCCAAGGGAGTGAGGGCTGGGAGAATAACAGTTGCGGTAAGAAAGCCCGATGCTGCTGCTCAGCTCAACCTACTGCAGACCCTCTGCACAGCTCAGCACAAGACTAAGTCGGTTGTGCATCCACACACACCACACAAACAAACAATGCTCTGTTGTCTACTCTCAGGGAACACAGCAAATCCTCAAAAAAAAATTTTTTTTTGAACACTCTAAAAATCGAGGCATGAAATAGACAAAATCAAGTTGATTTCATACCATACTCAACTCACTGCCATCAAGCCAATGTAACTCCTAGTGACTCCACAGGACAGGGCAAAACTGCCCCTGTGGGTTTCTGACACTAACTCTTTATGGGGGCAGAAAGCCTCATTTTTCTCCCGAGGAACAGCTAGTGGATTCAAACTGCTGACTTTGTGGTTAGCAGCCCAACACATAACTACTATACCACCGAGGCTCCGATTGTATACCATACTCTACTGAATTAACCCCACTGTCTAATTATCTATGTCAACTAAACCAGGAGGACATTTTCTTTGAGACATCAGGCAACAGAAGATACCCCAGGGAGACCAAGAACTTCAAGGACAAGGAGGAAACTGCTTTGAGAAAGAAATGACACAGAAACTCTCGCCAAAAGATGCTGGTGAGGCTATCAAAAGATAGAGTGTCTGGGATCTTAAAGGCTTGAAGATAAACAAATGGCCACCTACCTGAGAAGCAACAGAGCCCACATGGAAGAAGCACACCAGCCTGTGCGATCACGAGGTGTCGAAGGGATCAGGTATCAGGCATCTAAAACCCAGAACAAAATCATACCCAATGTGAATAGGGGGGTGGAGTGGAGACCCAAAGCCCATTTGTAGACAATTGGACATCCCCACAGAAAAGTCACAAGGAAGAGATGAGCCAGTCAGAGTACAGTATAGCACAGATGAAACACACAGCTCTCCTCTAGTTCTTTAATGCTTCCTTCCCCCCACTACAATGACCTCAAATCTACCTTACAAATGGTAGAACATGCACACTGCTATAGATAAAAACCCGCAACACAGGGAGTCCAGGATAGATAAACCCCTCAGGGCCAACAATGAGAATAGAGATACCAGGAAGATAAGGGGAAGGTTGGGGAAGGAAGGGGGCATTGATAACAAGGATCAATCTATAAGCCCCTCCCAGGGGGACGAACAACAGAAAAGTGGGTCAAGGGTGACAAAGGATGATTTAAGATATAAAAATAATACTCTATAACTTATCAAGGGTTCACCAGGGGGGGAAGATGGGGGAGGAAGGGGGGGAAATGAGGAGCTGATACCAAGGCCTCAAGTAGAAAGAAAATGCTTTGAAAATGATGATGGCAACATATGTACAAATGTGCTTGACACAATGGATGACTGTATGGATTGTGATGAGATGTAAGAGCCCCCAATAAAAGTATTAAAAAAAGAGAAAAAGATGCCGGTGAGCAGAAACTTACAGATTTCACCTGCTGGGTAGCTTGACATTTCCTGGGGTTAGAAAATGCTGCCTTACAGTTAGGTTAATTATGAAGCTAACTTTACCAGCTGAATATTTTGTGAAGTGCTTGGAATACTGTTTAATTGGAGGCTTCTCCACAAGTTGAAAGATAAACCCTTGCTGGAGTAAGGAGGGGAAGTGGGGATCAGGAAGTGGGCAAGTAGCAGTAAAAAACCCTAGAGGAGGTGTTATATGGCAGCTTCAGTGGTTAAGGGGAGTGGGGGGGTCGGGGCTGGAAGTAAATCCTTCATAAAAGTGAACTTCAATGAGGCATTTTTATTAGCGATTCCCCGGCTTCAGAATCGAGGGTGTCTTGTTGCCATTTTTAAAGGACCCCCTTGTTAAGGAGTGTGAAGCAGAGAAACTCCAGGGGACAGAGCTGGTGTGATTCAGGCCAAACCGGCCGCTCTCCCTGCAGGCCTGCTGGCCCGAGTGAGAGGACCACGGGGGCCCAGGTTGGAGGAGACCCTACTTAGCCACGGAGCTGCGTCAAGGGCCTCCTGTACCTGCTCTTCCTCATTCCTACAGAGAAGTGAGAGCTGACAGCAGAGATGCCTCCACACCGGTCGCTAGGAGTTAGAATGAACTCGATGGCAGAGAGTTTGGTTTGGGGAGGAAGATGTCGAGCCAATGCCGACCCAGCAGGACAGGATAGAACTGCCCCTGTGAGTTCCCAAGACTGTAACTCTTCACGGGAGTAGAAAACCCCTGGTGGGTTCGAACTGCTGATCTGGCGGGAGCAGCCCAATGCGCAGCCACGCCGCCACCAGGGGCCCAGGGGAGGTGACGACCTCTCTGAAGTTTCAGTACAAGAGCAGATACCTGGGATGGGCAGCTGTACAGTCTGCCGAGAAAGAGGCCAGAGATGCCCTTTCGCTGGGCTTTAGCCAGCGCAGTAGATCAGCCAGGTTTCTCTGAAGGCCCCACACACACTCTGCTGGGAAGGAAGGCTTTAAGCAAGTCACAGCACGACCTACGGGTGCGTGCATGCGCACCCCCACCCCCACATAAGCGCTCCTGTGCTTCTGCCTCTGTGCGCACACTTACACCCACACTCACACCTCTGCACGCCTGCATGCACA